CAACGTTTAAATGAGGAATGCTGCAACACGAGTGAAATTATCCTAATGAAATTGAATCATACAAGTGCTGAAAAACAAATCTCACATTTGGATAAAATACTTGGAAAAGAAATAGGTCTATTTGACTCAAACACAAATCTCACATTTGAATAGAATAAAAAAGGAATAATACTAAAATATAATTAAAAGTAAATCAAATGAAAGCAAAACAAAAAAAAGGCCCAGAACTAAATCAAAACAGGCCCAAAATCAAAACTATGATCACTTGGAAAAGAAATAGGTCTATTTAACTCACATACAAATCTCACATTTAAATAAAATAAAACGGAATAACTCTCAAATAGAATTGAAAATTAAACAAAATGAAAGCAAAACAAAAAAAGGCCCAAATCAAAACAAAAATAAAACCGAAAATAAAGCAAAACAGGCCCAAAATAAAAAATAGGATCACATGGAAAAGAAATGGGTCTATTCAACTCAAATAGAAATCTCACATTTAAATAAAATAAAAAGGAATAATACTAAACTAGAATTAAAAGTAAATAAATGGTGGAAGCCAAACAACATGAAACAAAAAACAACATTTTTTTTAAATTATAATTTAGAAAAGAAATATGTCTATTCAACTCAAATTAAAATCAAATTCAAATTGAATACAACTAAAATTGAATAAATTAATAAATAATAAATAAACTAAACTACTAATTCAATTATCAAATTAAATAACAATTAAAGATTGCAATAGTGATTGTGTTTGCATCATTATCCACCAAAGACCAAAATAAAAGCACCCCAGGACATCTCTCTGCTTGCACTGAAAATCAACTAAATCCTGAAGTTGGCCATCCATAAAATTAGCATGTGCCAAAATACAGGTAGGTATCAGAGCCACGTCATGAACACACATTACAGAGAGTCACCTGGTTTGACCTGATCAAGCTACTGTCTGTCTCTCAACAAAGTGCTGTTTTTAGACCTTCCATGCCAGCCTCCCTCTCATTCTGCCTGACGGAAACTCCTACGAGTGTGCGATGGGGTGATTCTGGGAAGACTAAGGTTGACTTTTCCCGCCGTTTGTTTCTAAGAAGGGAACATTCATGGTAGCGTACTGTGCAGGTATGTGTGTTGGTGACAGGTGAGCAGTAGTGTTTGGATCACATTAGTGTGTTTGGATCACATTAGTGTGTTTGGATCACATTAGTGTGTTTATAAGGTGTTGGAGTCAAGTGCGACTTCTCACTCTGATTAGCATTGATGATGAATGTTATGACGAGAGCGTCTTGGTTTTCACAATAACACTAAGAGGAGGTACATTCATAGACTTGAAATAACACATGAACACCAACCCAAGGTGGAAGAATATCAGATTGGAGTACACCGTTGACTTAATTAACAGACTTATTTCAAATGTAATATTTTTTAGGAATAAAGTATTAAACCCAAATTGTGCCCTACAGAACAAGACACGAGGTCATAAGTATGTGGACACCTCCTTATAGATAAGTACAGCTCCTATATGAATGAGGAAGGATTGAAATATCTACAACTCTGATTCCGTTTCAATAGCTTCATTCAAATCAGCAGCTTCTGCTTCATACAAACTGCTGCTTCTTTAGTTCAAATTTCAGGCTGGTCTGTAGACACACTTGCACAAGAAGGTCCTCTATTTCATTTCACCTACACAAAGAATTGTGAAGAAAACAGTTCAACCAGCAGCAGCAGTGGGCTGGTGTGTATGTGTCTGATTTTATCAACAGAGCAGTGTCTTCTGGTGAACAGTAGGACCTTTGAGCTCTTTCAACTCTTTCGAAAGGCTTTAAGCGATTGGATGACAGGCACATTCCAGGTTTGGGCCAGGCTACACGACGCAAGGATACATCAATGAGAGTGATGTGATGTGTGCATGCAATGACATGAATTTTGGACATTTGCTAGATTTTTCGGCTATGAGCCACATTTAAAAGGAATAGTTCACCCAAAAATGAAAATTCTGACTCATGTCATCACAAACAGGTATAGGAGTTTATTTATTTTTCTGAGCTGTCGAGCTCCTTAAAGAACAAAAAAGCACTGTAAAAGCACTTCCAATAGCTTTGTGTGAGAAATCAGACTAAAATTAAATAATTTATGATTAATGATCATTAAGATACAAACGAGTTCAAAAGTTTTAAGTCGGTAAGATTTTTTAATATTTTTGAAAGAAATTTCATATGCTCACCATGGTTGCTCACATTTATTTGATAGAAAAATGCTGTAAATAATTTTTACATTTTGTGAAATATTACAATTCAAAATAAAATTCTTTGTTATTGTTCAGAAATCATTCTGATATGCTGATTTGCTGCTCAATATTTTTTTCTTTCTTAATGATGAAAACAAGTTTTTAAAAAAGCAAGGAAAACAGGGCTATTTGATGAATAAAACGTTCAAAAGAACATAATTTCTTTAAACAAAATTAAATATTTTGTATTGTTATGCCTTTACTGTCCCTTTTATTCAATTGAATGCATATTTTCTGAATAAATGTCCTTTAATAAAAAATAAAAAAAATAAAAAAAATAAAAATCACCCCAACCTAGTGTTCTATACATTTTCAGAAAATTATTTAGGGTCTTTTCCTCACAGGAATTCAGAAGACTTGAAATATAGAAAACAAATCAAACAGTTTATAGTGCTTTTTGGGGCTTGACAGCCCCCCGGTCACTATGAAATGTCATTGTGTGCAAACAAGCTACATTGAATTAATTAGGGTTGTTCTAATGAAACAAAAATGACAGTGAGTAAATAATAGCAAAGTTTTGATTTTGGGGTGAACTACACCTTTAATTTAAGGGAGAGTGCAGATAGTTGTAAGTTGGTTTAGTGGGTCAGTTCCTCTCTGCATTTGTGCTCTCAGATGTTGTACAGGTGAACTGTAGCAGATTTTTGCTTCTGCGTCCTTGACACAGTTTGCGACCGCATCAGTGTCCGATTCCTCCTTGCCAAACTGTCTCCTTGATGATGACGGAGCAGGGGGCCAACCGCATTTCTACCACCTCGTCTCTTGGGTGGCGAGAGATGAAATGGAGAATACAGGAAGATAAGTTGAGGGAGCACTTTGGAGTTTAGGGGGACCGAAATAGATGTGACACACAACAGCTCTGCAACTGCCCAGTTAGACTAATGAGGCGAGGTTGAAGGAGAGGGATGCTCCCGGAGGTGCACACGCTCACGTCAAAGCCCCTGCCCCCCTCACCCGTGGCCTATTTCCGGTACAGAAATTCATTAAAATGGCCCCAGCGAGCAGGCTTTAGGGCCTCAACTGGGTCAAGGCAAAATAGTAAGCTCAAAGCATTCAACTCAATATCAATTTGTCATTTGACAGATTAGATTAGTCATTTTTCACACCTGCATCTCAAGCAACCACAGACCTCACAGAAGCTATGTTACACACAACACACATGCTTGACCATTGAGTTTTTGGTGCCCACACACCTCACCCCACTCCACACCTATTCTCTGGTATATCAGTGATACTTGAATACATCTACAATACCAGTCAAACGTTTGGAATATTTACAAAAATATTCATGTTTTTGAAAGAAGTCTCTTATGCTCACCAAGGCTGCATTTATTTGATGAAAGATATAATAGAAAAAAGTACAATTTAGAAAGACTGTTTTCTATTTATATATATTTTAAAATGTCATTTATTCCTGTGATGGTAAAGCTGAATTTTCAGCATCATTACTCCAGTCTTCAGTGTCACATGATCCAACAGAAATTAGCTGGTTTGATGCTTAAGAATCATTTCTTATTGTCATCAATGATAAAAAATAATTTAAAAAAAACAGTTGTGCTGCTTAACAAATCCATATTTTTTGGGGAAACCGTGATAAAATTCGTAAGTTTGGAGAGGTAAGATAAAATAAAAGAGACTTTTATTCAACAAGGATTCATTAAATTGATCAAAAGTGACAGTAAAGAAAAATGTATAAATGTTACAAAAAAAATCTAATTCTAATAAATTCAGTTCTTTTGAATTCTGTTAAAAAAAATGTATCAAAATTTCCAATCCGATTCAGCAAATGTTTTCAACATTGACAATAATAAGAACCATTATTAATAATTGTGTAGCAAATCATCATATTAGAATGATTTCAGAAGGATCATGTCATTCATGTGACACTGAAGACTGGAGTAATGGATCCTGAAAATTCAGCTTTACCATCACAGGAATAAATTTTTTTTTTTATTACATTTTAAAGTATATTTAGATAGAAAACAGCAATAATACTTGGGTACTTAGGGGAAGAAATAGTAAGAGTTGCATGCTAGAATGCTATTCTAATTCAGTCAATGGCCAAATTCAGCCAAAATCTTGCAGGTAATAAATGTAAATTAGATACGTCAGATTACTGTGCATATTGTGGAAATGTAATAATGAAATAATGTTTAATGAACAATGCAAATTTAACACAACGGTTGTTAGCATCACACATCACAACATAGTTTAAATGAGTAGTGTGAAGTTATTAGGATGTTGAAAAGTACAGCAGAAACCAAGCAGCAGTTTTGCTTTTTATCAAGTCTGATCAAACTTACAAGGACATGACTGCACGACATTTCTGTGACCTTTTCTTTCGGCTGAACAGAGTCCACTCCGTGGGTGTGTCCAACCACAACGCCACAGGCACCTGTCTCTGTGAAGGTCAAAGTGCTGTTTTTCTACATCTATACACATGTATGTGTTAGAAATAACGGGCATTATTTAAGCAATACTTGAACTAATTTCATTTATAGAAATCCAATACCCTTCAACAATGGGAATTCAGTTTGAGTGTTAATTATTTATCAATTCAACCTTCATTTAGCAAATTAATTAAATGAATCTACTCTGCCATTTAAAGAAACTGCAGAAAATGAAATGGAGTACAAACTGCTTAAGAATTGTGTTGCTTTTTTTTTTGATTGCACAAAAATAAAAATAAAAGCAAACAAATTGCTTTCAAGGGCTTTACCTTTATCTTCTTGAACTGGTGCTTTGCCTATAAGGCCAAAAGGCTGGTCCATTCATCCATCACCAAACAGCTGATTCACACAAGTTTTTCCATGCTTTCTCCATAACATTTGCCAGAAGAGTACGATAAACACAAAACCTGAGGCGAGAAATACAAGGTTGGAAAACAGACAGTAAAACGGTGTGATTATGAACATCTGATTTAGTTAAGCAATAAAAAACAGCAGGTGATCACAGCCTCGCTGATTCGGGAGCCGGTCCAACTAGATATTGCTTCTATACAACAGCTCAACAAACTAAGTTGATATTGAGTAACTATATACATATATTATATATATATATCACACACACACACATTTCAGTTCGCTGTTGTTTTGTTTGAAATATTTTTCATTGCAAAAATCTTTTGCAGATTTTAATATTTTAGGCATTGCTGGACTGGACTTCCTAAGATTTTAAGCTATTGAAAGTAAATGCCTTTTCTTACAAAATAAATAAATAAACACGTAATTGAAAAATAAAAATCTTTATAAATCCACAAGTTTTATGTGAAGGAAATGGACTGAATCACATTAAAGAAAGATAACTGAGTGATAATGGCCTATTTAGTTTAGATTTAGCTTAAAATCTCATGAAACCCAGACCAACATGAATTACCTACAACCTTGTCACACACCTAAAGAAAGTGTACCATTTACTAAAATCTTAGATTATAGATATGGTCTAAATGGGTGAACCTGCTCTTTCAAGTAGAAGCTTATCCTGGTAACTTTTCTTGCCTGTCTAAAAGGGGAGAAAATGTGTATGATGGATGAGCGAGGGACAGGCTCTCCCATGAGGCCAGGCTGGTGACTAATCAATAGACTGGCAGTGCGGCCTGGCTGGAGGGCTCCATATCAATCATAATGCACAAGCCTTGTATTCTCATCGACAGCACACAGTAGGCCAGGGACGAGTTGTTTCATCTATTACTCTTGGTAGATGGACCACGGGGCAACTGAGCTGACACATAGCATTGTCAGAGTGGGAGAAACACTCACCATAAAAAGAAAAAGAAAAGTCGAAACCTAAAGTTTGGCTTATTAAAGTAAAGTAGGAGTTGAGATACATACCCTCGGTTTCACAGACATGGCAGTCCCGGACTAAAATGCATGTTTGAGCTGTTTTAACTGAAAGCAACTTATCTTATTTTAAGATATGTCAGTGCCATTGTTTTGTCTCAAGATGCACACCAGCAATGTTTTTTTTTTTTTTTTTAAGTTACTGAAAGGTCCTGATTGAACTATACATAATCCTGGCTTTATCAAAGCCTTTTCTGTGAAAGCAGCCCATGGAGAAATGGAGACAGGCTTTACCTTGTTTGAGTTGCTTCTTTTGTGGTTTGTGTCCTCCTTGACTAGTGTAATTTGAGAGGTTTTTCCTGTCCTGCTTTCCTCCATTGCTTCATGCCCCTCACAGATGCCATGCACTATTCTAAATGTGGCACTAGGATTATCATCAACACATTGCTCTTGTCAGCCTTCCTAGAGTTCTGGTGGTGGGACTTACTCTACTGTGGCAATTTAGGGCCACCTTGTGGTGTAAACCAGTTAGGCAAGTGCACCTGTTTGCCACGTGGTTTATATATTTAAAAAAAAAAAAAAACGCTCTGTGCGGTGAGATAAAGGAACACAATGTTCCTGTGCTCAAAACAATCATATAGAGTCAATTAAGTTCAGAAGAGCTGATCCACAGTTGTTTACATTTCCTTTGATGCACTGCTTTGTGCACACATTTAAAACCCAGCTATTCCTCTATAATTGTGAATTTATAAAGACCTTTGTCAGACTGATCTCGTGAAATGGCGTATGTATGACACGCCAATTCGTATTTCCATTTTTGGCGTGCTATCAACACGCATAATCGCTTTTCAGCGTGTTTATCAACGCCGTTGACTTAACGTTATATTACTGTATATATAAAATATATGACCTACCCCAACCCCATCCCTAAACCTACCCGTCTCTGGGGTTAATACCATTTATGAGTCTTCCCCTACCATCCTAGGAAAAAAAAATATCGCTCCCCAGATGTAGATCTACATTTTGCTTCGTTTCGCTCGGACATTTAACGGCGTGTACAAACACGCGGAATCACTCGGATATTTAACGGTGTAGACATACACGCAAAAGATGAAGATTCGTTTCGGCGTGCACATACACGCGGATAGATAACACGCCACTTGACTTGAAAGTGGCGTGGATGTTTACGCAAAGTCATGATGTCATGTTGCCTTTGTTCAAGAATAGGCTGTCCAGATTTCCCCTCTACATGGATCCGAAAATGAGCTTGAAACAGATTTCAGGTCATGTTGATCTTCAAACATATTCAAGGCGCCCTTCCTCTATCCCAAATGTGCCCTTTTTGGATTTAGACTTGTGCAGTCATTTAAGTAAACTGTTTTTGTTTACATAAGACACTGTCGTAACTTCAACCACATGAATATCCTGAGCTCAGTACATTAATTCTTATGTTAGTATTATTTGATCTGATATTTTAGCAGGTGATTTAAGGTTTTATTGAATATGGCAGATTGTCATAAATTTATCTCTTTACACAGAAAATATAAGCAAACTTTACACACTAAAAATCAGATTTTGGCTATACTATTGCAATAGGCGATTTTAAAGTCCCCATGGTGAAAAACAAGCTTTTATTGTGTATATGCCTATGTGGTGTTTTTAATATGAACACAAACCATGTGCAGATACATAACACCATTGCTGAGTATTTTCTCCTTAAAACTGCAGTGTGTGATCGTCAACGAGTGGATCTGAGCTGGTGTGAGTGGGGGGCGGAGACAATTTGCATATCCATAGAACCTTGTATACTGAGGCATTGGTGTAGTTACATTCAAGCTATTTTAAAAGGCATGAAAAAAAATCATGCTTAAATATGTTAAATGTCATTTTGGTTTTCAAAATTTGAGTTAAGGGATAACATTGACTACAGGGGGACTTTAACATTACATGATTAGCCCCATTGCTTTCAACGTGCCTATGCAATGTGAATAGTTTAACCTACACTAAAGGAGGAATAAAAAGGATAATTTTAAGCTAAATTCTGACTATTACACAAGAAACGGACTCACACTTCACGAACATGCATCTTGTATTCTCACCTTAAGAATAGCTATTCTCTCCAGCAGCAGTCCTCAAGCTCCATGGGCCCCCATTGTGCAAGACAACATTCAAAAGACCCCACACGTCAAATATTAACTCTGGCACAATTTTTTAGCTTTAAAAAAAAAAAAAATTTTGATTATGTGATTCCATAAGTTAAATATGCTTAAAAAGAGTAGTTGAGGGAACAATATGTTCTACACATTTTTACCAGTTTAAAATTTAGTCTAGAGTACTCTTGCAGAACCGAAGCTGAAACCCAGTTCTAAATGCATTTTGGGTCCATGAAAACCTAGTCACATACCACCATTAGGCTTTTGTGTGCTAACATTTTAATACAACTAAAACCTTTATGGAAATGACAGATTGCTATAGGCAATACCAATGTTGTCAAGCATATGTGCATGCAGTCTTTGCATATATGCTCATTTTCCTGTCCCATATATATTTGAATGAAACTCATACAATGTATAATAAACAAGAAACAAATCAACATGTAAATCAGATGTGCGTTTTAATAATGAATACAATTATTGAAAATTAATAATCAATATTTACAAAAATGTTCTCACAAAATAAGATCGCATCACATGAGATGAAGATCTGAGTGCACTTGTGTGATCTCACATTCAAACATTTACCACAGTTACCCAGCAGTGATGACCAGGCAGCCATGTGGCTTTGTCCCAAGGCTCTGGGTGGGTTGCACAGGCAGCTGAGATCCGTCGAGGAGGATCAGCAACCTGTAAAAGTCTCTCAAAACACATGCATCCGTTGGCAGAACAATGCATGCACATTTGCTCAGAAATGACATTGCGACATCAGGTTACTGCAACGCTCTAACACCGCGTACATTAAGGGTGGAGCGGGTTTACCTGCAGGCCACGTGGTTGTGGCCGTACTGGAGGCGGGGCGTGGCGTACACGTCATCGCGTAGCTGTGACGCAGAGCGTTCCGCCTCCCTGAGTTGGAGTCTGCGCAATGCTGTGAGACAAGGACGAAGGAGAGCCGACAAATGAAACCGAATTCAACTCGTAACATGCAACTCAAAGAATTCTGTTGAACGCCTTGGCTTCAATAAAACATTGTTCGATACTACCACACATTTAAATAGTGCTAGGTTAACAATAAAACCATTGGCATTTCACGCACATATTACTGTCTATGGTTTCACAGCTGCCAGGTCGTCGTCTCGTTCCGACGAAATCAAGTCAGGTTTCGGAAACACGTCAGATTTCATTCCTGAAGAACACGTCCTCGAAGTCTCGCTGTTGAAAGTCCAAAGATCTGTCGTAATCAGAGTCCGACAATGAGAAAACGCTCTCATCAAATTGGACATGATGACTCTGCATTGAGAAATCATGGCTTACATCACATGTCTCAAATGAAACATCTAACGTTAATCGTTCAGCGTACACCAGGTCCATTAAATACTGGGTAGTGTTTCTTGGTGCCATGGCAACCGGTGGAACGTAACTTGTATTCCTCGTTACTGTAACGTTACCGTCGACACGGTCCAGACACACCTGTGGTCTCTTGACTGACCAGGCGCGGACCCGTAGCCTCCTTTCGCTGATTTTTGCACGCAAAAATGTCTTCCTCTTTGATTTTGACCATTTCTTCTTATGAACAGGCGCGGTCTCGGTGTCCTTCTGGTAGTTTTCGTTCATTGTCATAACTTCAAGATACATTACTAAAAAAAACACACAGTCTTTCGTTGCCTAGATGTGAGAGATACAAAAACCACCGAGTGATTGAAATATAACAGTAAAATTGAACAAAAAAAGCTTCGAAAAAGGACCCAAGATTCAACTGCTGCTGTCTCTTCGACGTTCAAAAACGAATGACAAACGTGGCCAAGGAACGTGCGACTTACGTACTCAACGAACTTGCGGAAGTGACGTTTTTCGTTTCCAGCCAATCAGCTTTCGTCTCGTCTTATTCGGCGGTGATCATGAGAGCATTGATTTGAACCGATTTGAACACAGTGCCCCGCTAGGGACTTATCAGCAAACATTGCAACATATTCAAACATGAAGAATAGCCATCGAGAACTTTATAAACACACAAACAAAACAAAAATAGGTATACAAAGGTTACCGTTAGGTAACACTACCCCGTATCGCGTTTTTAAACAAAAACGCGTTCAGTAAGCTGAGATAAACGTTTGATCATGTTCTGTGTTAATAATTTACATTGGGTTAGTCAGTCTGGTTATTTATGCTGTGCTCAAGTTCAAGAAATTCCAAGTTCTGCGACAGTCGGTAGCTGTAAAAACAAAAAGCTATCTTTATGTATTAAAAAGTTGTCTAAAAAATAGTGATGGCCGCTTTCGAATCGCTGCTTCTTTTTGGAGCTTCGAAACCTTTGTTCCGAATCAGTGGTTCGGAACGCGTATTGAACTGGTCAAGTAGTAAAAAAAAAAAAAAAAATATATATATATATATATATATATATATATATATATATATATATATATATATATATATATATATATATATATATATATATATATATATATATATTGTGGAAACCATCTTGAAGAACATCACCCAAACATTTCATTTTTCCAACAAAATAAAACAGCGAGGTACCTTGACGACCTCACCAAAATGTCGGCGCCCCCAGGACCCCATGCCAGGACCCAGGAGGCCACGTGACGCAAATGCGCCGTCTCTCTGCCTGATGATCCTGCCTCTTGAAGCTCTCTGCTGCCATCTTTGAGAAACTTACGAAAAATAAGATGAATCTATTTGTGAAATACATCTTTACTTGCATCAATCTCTTCTTCAGAAAATGTCCGAGGTGTTTGTTCTTTTGTTAAAAAAACATTCCCTTTTCCAATTCTCATGATTGCCCGTATCGAAGGGCGTATTGGCATGAATGCTACGGCATTTACAATACAGTAACAGCACCTCCAGCAGGTTTAGTCCAACAGTTTCGGGACGCGAGTTTGTAAATATGACAAGTGACAATGTAACTCGTGTATTGAACTCGTGAGATGTCGACTAGGAATCGAATTTCCTCGAGGATTATTTTGTTGTCTTGTTTTTTCCTCTTCTTTTAGACACATAAAACGATTCAAAAAGACACCCCCACCACCCTTAACATCAATGCACGTGATATAGTCCTTCAATGCTCTGAAAGTGTATTTAAATCTACCAGAAATTACAAATTAAAACTGCATATGACAAGACATGCAGTTTTCCACGAGGGTGCGTACATAGTGTGTTGATTTTAAATAGCCTAAATATAGGCTAAATATACAGGATTTTAGGCGGTATTTTATATACCATGTTTATGCTGTAGGTTTCTCCATTCACAGATGTGGATGTGATGTGACTCGATCTACATCACCGTCCCTCCCTACTGCGAAACTAGTTTTACGAAGAAACTATTTTGAAAGTAATTTAATTGTTTTTAAGAAGTACATCATGAAAGGTAGAATATAAATGCTTATAAGATTATAAGCTTCAACGTGTTTTATTTCTGTAATAAAATAATTTATTTTTTATACTTTATAGTAGTCTATACCGTGTAGGGTGCGATGCATCTGCAAAACAAATATGTATATGTTTCATCATCAATTCCACATTTTTAAAGGTTTATAGCCTACTAATTAATACATTTTTCCTGTTCAAGACAATCTCACTTTTCCTGACATTTTACATTGTGATATCACAGCAGTCCAGTAGGTGGCGGTATGTATCGACTCTGACCCCCGTGAATTAATAGCAGAAGGAATAAACGTAACCCTCCATTTTCTCTTCTAGTGCCCTTCGCTTGTGCACTAGCGCCATGAGTAGCGCACTTGATGACTCAAAGACAACAGACGCAAGTATGGACCACGAACTTTACACTGTACAGAGTCCCTCCGAGGACATTAAGGATGGCCCAGATCATGCAGAATTCATTTATAAGAGTGAGTAGCGATTACTTGTATGCATTTAAAGTCCCGTTGCATTTAATTAACTGTCCAATTTTAGCAGTTTAGCATTCAGCTGGCCACGTAAATTGGATGCATGTAACGTTATTATACAAATCACGTGTCTCACCGATATTAATATCTGCATGTGTCTTAATGTGTATGTGCATCAAGTGTCAAATGAAGAATTTGTTAGATTCGTGAAGTTGCGTGTGACCAACGACTCACTTTTCACTGGAAAGAGAAATTCTTCAACTCTGGCTTATAGGTAAAACAATAAACACCAACACTATGCATATAGCCATTCAAGTCTTTGCACCAAGAAATAAGTATACAGCAGATGTTTATGCCAGCAGCCTGCAGCAATCAGTCTTTAAAATCTGCATTTGTAATCTGCTATAGGGCCATCTTGAAAGAGCTTGGTCTGCAAAGGGAAATTTCTGCCAGCCAGGCGAGGAGGAAATGGGAAAACCTAAAGATGAAGTATAAGGTATGCTTATGCCATGTTATGAGTGTTCAGTGGTTCTCAATCCTTTCATACAGGCCCCCAGCACTGTGCATTTTGGATATTGCCCATATGTAGCACACCTGATGCAACTTAGAAGCTCGCCATGAAGACCTTTCAATCTTCAGACAGTGCTCTGCATATATATATATATATATATATATATATATATATATATATATATACACACACACATACAATTCCCTAAATTACATTTAAATATTAAACAACAGAATGTCATTAAATTTAAGGATGACAAACAATATGTAATACATATCTAAATAATTATTTTAAAAAAAGTATGGTAATAGGCTGAATGTATTTACATTTAGTTCAATTTGTGTGTTATTTTAATTAATGACATTTTAATATTATACATCAGAATGTCATTACATTTAAGAATGACAAATGATATATTTATATAGTAAAAATCTCAATAACTATTTAATATGTATGGTAGTAGCATGAACGTATTATATACATACACACACATAACATTAAAGTTACACACAAAATACTCAAAATTACATTTTAATAAATATAAACATCAGAATGTCATTTATATTAAATCTATATATTCATATTATGTTTAATAATTTTTTATACACATAAGTAAACATCATACTGTGTAATCACACTCCACACCCCTAATCTGCATGATCTTGCCCTTTGTGCTCACAAACTGTTTGTGTCTGTGTACCTTGTGTGTATCAGGAAATGAAGAATCCCCCACCTGGCGTCTCAGTAAACCCCACTAACTGGCCGTGGTTCTCCCTCATGGATGACGCCATGGAGGGTAGACTCGCGGGAAGCGAAGTCACCGTAGACACTTCTTCTGTGGGCGATGACAGCGAGTATCGGCCGAACAGCACCACGCGCAGGAGGAGCAAGAGGGCGCGTGAGCCGAACAGAAGCGAGATCGAGCTGTTTGTTGAAGAGGATGACATGATGTCTGAGGAAATGGGGCGAGACAGGACAGATCTAGACAGAGACAGGGATGAGATGGAGCACGAGAGGGCCATTCTGGAGAGCGACAAAGCCGCTATTGAATACGAGAGGATGGTCCTGGAGAGGGAGAAGATGGTTTTAGACCGAGAAAGAGCAGGAGTGGAGCGAGAACTTGCAGCACTGGACCGAGACAGGGCCTCCCTAGAGAGAGAGAAAGCCGCTGTGGAGAGAGATAGGGCCTCTGTGGAGTACATCCGAGCTCAGCTGGAAAAGGAAAGAGCGATTCTTGACAGAGAAAGGGCTAAGCTTGAGCGAGAGCGTGCCTTACTTGAGCAGCATCGTGGGGTGGAAAAGGTGGAGCAGCCGGCTAATCTGAACGACAATTCAGAAGGAACTGACACCTCTATTCCCTTAGTGATGGAACCGGCCTCCTTAGAGAGGAGGCAGAAATTCCTCAACCTGTTTGAAAAGCTCATTGAGAACTTCTAAAATAGAACTAATTGTTCTGAACGGGACCCATTATGTAAATGTCATTATTTTTGTACACCTTCTGTTTGAAGTAAAACCGTTTACTGTTGCCGGAAGTGGATTGTTCTGTGTTACAGTGATTGATTTTGTAATGTTAGTAGCTATTGTTTAAAAGAGCACTTTGAAGCGCTAAGTGTCGGTTTCATGCCTTTGAAGACTTTACAAGCTAACAATGAAAACGTTAAGCCACCTCTGTTTTGGAGAGGTCATCAGAAATCTTTATTCAGGTGTGATTATTTCCATACAAAACACACAATGCTGAGCTAATATTTACCCCCCCCCCCCCCCCCCCCCCCAATCATTTTCAAACCCCTCAGCCAATACAACAGATTGAGATGTGATATACCAAAATATTGCAGTTCTTGTAGAAAAAAAAAAGAATCAGCTTACATATATTTAAATTACAGTACAGACTTTACAACAAATTCATTGATAGAATGCTTTTATTGCATTAGTCAAATTTACCTTTCAAGAAGTTCAGTGAGCACCAGCTTCAATTAGTTTATGCTAATTATGATAAACATTTGTTAAATTCTATATGAATATTAACAATATTTAATTTACAAAACATATTTAAACAATTTGGGCTGGCTATTGCAGCTAGCCCCAAACAGGCAACCAGTACAGCACACATAGTGAAAGTTTTTGTTGTGTTCAGATTTGCATTTGTAAATTAATGACATCTTGTTTTCCAGTATTTGATAAATAAAAAACTTTCAGAGTTATGCATGGATGTTTCTCTGTTTCTCTAAAACTGTTTGAGACGTCATTAATCCAGATACGACTACAAACCTACATTATGAAAAGTATGTACTGTGTAAAAAGGTAGAAACACAAGCAGCGTAGAGTTGGAAGTGTCCACCTGAACTCCTGTGAGAGTGTAGGTTTATGTATTTATGCCAACCTCCTTTAAAGACAGCCATTCATATCCAAGTGTTTGCTTGAGCCCAAAGTAAAAAAAAAAAAAGAGAGGTACGCATACAGAGGAGGTTTGATGCATGTGCATACGTGTGAGTTTTGTATGTGTGCATTTGATTGTGCGTTTTCCGGCTTAAATAAGGGCACCAACAGGGATACGTGGCAAACATATGTAGGCCTGTGGGGTTCTGCTGAGGTTGATGGGATTACCGTCCAGGCGAACGTCCTCTAGAGCGTTGCGGATGTAATTTAAATCATGTGGATTGCAGAAGGTGTCCTCGTGCATCATCTGGATATTGTTATTCTGAATGATAAAACAGAACGTTTTAGATGTACCATGCAAGTACATACATTTTTGTATTTTTTTATTTTATTTAATGTTTACATTTTGGGTGATAATTCATAATTTTACTATAGGAAAGATGTCAATATTAATTAAAGAGCACTATGCGGATTACCAGAAAGATTGACTATAAATTGAATGCTTGGTTTATGTTATTATTTTCTCTGCCAATCATAATAACCTCAGCAAATTTCCTGATGTTCTCAAATAGCATAATTTCTAAATGTAAACTGCCTCCTTTAAAGCGATACTCCACCCAAAAATGAAAATTCTGTCATCATTTACTCACCCTCAAGTTGTTGCAAACCTGTATGAGTTTTTTTCTTCTGATGAACACAAAGGAAGATATTTTGAAGAACGATTGGAACTTTGGCACCATTGACTTCCATAGTATTTTCTTTTTCTACTATGGAAGTCAATGGTGCCAAACAACTGTTTGGTTCCAATCGTTCTTCAAAATATCTTCCTTTGTGTTCAGCAGAAGAAAGAAACTCATACAGGTTTGCAACAACTTGAGGGTGAGTAAATGATGACAGAATTTTCATTTTTGGGTGGAGTATCCCTTTAAATTAGAATCTATACATAAATGTTACTATTTCAGTTAGGTGACAAGTGCCATAGATGTCCACAGTGTGGCACTAGTGAGGTGGGAGTACAGGTACCTGTAGGTGCAGGGAGCGCAGACTGTCAGGCAAAGGAACTGGGATGTGGTCTATGTTGTTGTCAGTCAAGTAAAGGTAAAGTAGCCCTGGCATGTCCTGAAAACAGAAAACATGAGTTGATGACAATCCTGTCAAACAAAATTAGCTAAGGTGCATTCAACACCTCTTGGTATGAGCAATAGCAGCCCTTCCCGTAGGGACCGGACCATCATCAGCTTTTCTGCTGGCTGGTTTTTGTCTAATTTAAACTAAATGTAAGCTGTTCCCTCAGGTCTACTTGTACATTAGTCTAAAACAGGTTCAAGTTCACACCATAAGCAAGAAAGCACAGCAAAGAATGTGCTAAAGGCTATGCTTTATTAAACTTTTTTCACATTTTGACTCTTATTGCTTCTCTCACCTTGAAAGCTTCTCTCTGGATGCCAGTGTTGCCCAACTGGTTGTGACAGGCATCAATAAGAGACATAGAGGGTGGCAGAGCAGGAAGTTGTCTTATACTGTTCTCTCGTAATATCAACTCTTCCAGAGCAGGAAGGCCAAAGAAAGCATCATCATCAATCCTGGAAATGCCGTTGCTAGTCAGATCGATCCTCTTTAATTTATCTTTATGACAAAAAAAGACAAAAAGCCATTCAGTAAAATTTATGAAAACATCAAATTTATATTTTAGCATTAAGCTAAATAAATCAAATGTTGCTAACGCTATCAGATCAGGCTATAAAATATTATTAAGATTTTTAGACAAACTGTTGTCTAAACTCTAGACCTAAAAAAACAGGAATAGTTATTTCCAACCCATTTACTTCTGTACTGTGAAGCGTTTTCGAATTAAACTATTCAACTAGAAAACTGTAGGGCGGGGCTTAATTTGATCATTATTTCATTAAAACAGTTTGGTTTTCCCATTAATGAAACACATACTCAAGTTGGCGAAGTCAGACTTGCTGATCCTGGCAATTTTATTGTAGCGGGCATAGAAATGAGTGGTTTCTTTGGCGAGGGGAGGAACACGGTCCAGCTTAAGGTCATCACAGTACACAGATCCGACCAGACAGGTGCACAGCATACAGGTAGCCATACCTTACCACCAAACCAGCAGGTGGTATTCAGAAGACAAACACATATTAAAACACAGAAGCTGTACTGATGCATATCCAGCAACAGCCTGATTGGATACACAAGTACATACTTTTGTATCAGTCATCAAGAGACTGCAAAGCCACAATGTCACATGAGAATGTGCTACATACAGTACATAGGGATCCTACTCTTGAAGAGCCACCTTAGTGCAGGATTTTAGCTCCATCCTCAATTAAACACACCTGAACTAATCAAGGTCTTCAGGATCAAAAGAAACTTCCAGGCAAGCATTTTGGAGCTAAACTCTGCAGGAAGGTGGCCTTCTAGGAGCAGGATTGGACACTCCTACAGTATAATATATTACACAAATTAATAGTGATATGTAGGTATCTCTGGTAAACAACAGAACTTAATCAGTTAGCCTAACACTATATACAAGTGAAATACTGACCTGTTGTATCTGTGTCAATATCAGGTAGTAACCCTGACCCTATATCCCCCCCAGTCCCCTCCTGGGGAGTGGTCAGGGTAGTTAGGAGTATTTCCTCCTCTTGTTAAACACAATAACATTAAGGTGTTAGAAGACAGATTAGCACATGAACAGATGAACAATGGAACATGACAGACAGTGAGCAATAATGTCATTGAGAAGTTATAATGCATTATTATTGTTATAATGAACACACAGTTAACCAATATCAGCCAGTTACATGACTTTCCCAGTGGGAATAACATTTGTAGAAAATGCTGGCATTGATGAGTGCAACAATAAATTCAATAGTTATCATATTTTTGTTAATCTAGTCTAAACTATCCTTGATAAAAAAAGAGCCCTAACAACTGTCATATTTCTGACATAAATCTAAGTCATAGAAGTGCAAGGTATTGATATCATTGTACTGACCTTCATATAGGTCAGGAATTAATATGTCAGTGGTGACGTCTGGGGCCTCAGTCCCCCCAGACTCTCCTGACTCCAAAGAGACCACAGGCTCTCCAGTCTCTTCAGGGATGCCAGACTCTTCAAACCATTCAATGGGCTCAAGCTTTTCAGAGACCTCAGACACCCCAGAGATCCCAGGCTCTCCAGACACCTCAGACACCCCAGAAATCCCAGGCTCTCCAGACACCTCAGGCACCCCAGAGGCCCCAGGCTCTCCAGACACCTCAGGCACCCCAGAGGCCCCAGGCTCTCCTGGTACCTCAGGTACCCCAGAGGCCCCAGGCTCTCCTGACACCTCATGTACCCCAGACTCTCCTGACTCCTCAGGTACCCCAGAGGCCCAAGGCTCTCCTGACTCTTCAGGTACTCCAGATGCCCCAGATTCTCCTGACACCTCAGGTACTCCAGAGGCCCAAGGATCCCCTGACACCTCTGGTACCCCAGGTTCTCCTGAGACCTCAGGTACCCCAGATGCCCCAGATTCTCCTGACACCTCAGGTACTCCAGAGGCCGAAGGATCCCCTGACACCTCTGGTAACCCAGAGGCTCCAGACACCCAAGAGATCCCAGACTCCCCAAAATCCCCAGAGGCTTCGTGTGGAAGGGTTTCAAGCATCAGGTGGAGCTCCTCCTCTTGTAAGAGACAAGGTGGGGTGGCAAAAAGGAAATTAGCCTCCTCAACAGCAAATGATAGATAACAGCATGACAACAATGCTGGCAATGATAATGCGGTAGCCATTTTGGATCAAGATTGTAACCAATACAAAAAGATAAATGGTTGTGAATTCCAGATCATGGTTACTTGCTTTAAAATATTTAGGACATCCCTCCCACTGCGGTCTGACAGGTAGACCATACATTGGACACCACCTCACCCACATAAAAAAAATACTATGCTGAAGTAATCAAGAACCCCCTTAAGCTTCACTTACAAAAAAAGTGTGCAATAATTGTACCTTTAGAGGAAAAACAGCTTCTCACAGTTGGAGTACCATTGAAGGGACATCTTTGTAACTTATTTACCCCTAAAAGATTCACAGTAGTACCTTAAGGTTACATATTACTATTCCTAAAGTACTAATATGCACCTTTTATGCATAGATAAGGTACAAGGTTGCCAAAGGTACAGAGGTTATACCTTAAAGGATACTGCCCCAGTGAGAACCTGTTGTGCCCTTAACGATTCTATTTTTGCACATTTATTTCTCACAGCGTAAATATATCAAGTAAACCAAAGTCCTGAGTACTGACCTCTACCTGAGATCAATATTATGCCTGAACCAGAAAGCCCAGAGACTCCAGAAACAAGGTCCCCTGAGTCCACAGAACCTGAAATGTCACCAGAGGCCCCAGAACCTCCAGAGCCCAAAGGCTCTCCAGAACCAGAAGCTTTGTTATCGAGCAAGTCTCCAGAGGCTCCAGAGCCCAAGTCACCAGAACCCGAAATGTCCCCAGAAATCTGAAGGATGTCAATGGGCGTCAGACGAAGCTCCTCCTCTTGTTCAAGACAAGGTTAGGTGTTAGAACAGTTATTAGAATTAGAATTACACTTAGAACCATATGGACTGGTTCAGTAAAGACTATGAGTGATTTACTGGTTATGATGCACATAAAAAGCATAAGAATGATGCACATAAAAAGTTCAAGAATTATTAAAACTCATTTAACCAATCGGATTGCCAGTTAAATGGAACGACAGCATGAAATTGTTGGAAGGCTAGTCATGACTATTAGTAGTGTGTGCATTTATACATGCATGGTACAAACCTCCCTGAGCACTAGGGCCCATCAAAGTCCCTGACTCCCCAGAGCCTGATGGAATAAGCTGAGGCTTAATGGGTAATTCCTTGTGGTCAATCTCCTCAACTGTCCTCCGTTCTTCTTGTTCTTCATGCTCCACATTCTTCTCCTCCCCCTCTTCTTCCTCTTCAAACGAGGCACCATTTGAAGGATCAATGTCCTCATCAGGGCCCAAGGTGTCAATCTCTATCTGCAAGAAGAATTCAGGTCAGTACACTATACTCATTTTTGTCATATTACAAACCAAAACATGGCTTTCTTAAACGGCCGATGATTTAAAGGACTGACAGAAAGTGCTGTGTCAAAAAGACTGCTGTAGAAGATAATTATCTCAATCTGTTAAGGTACCCAATACTGCTCCTGTAGGGCCACCTTTCTGCAGAGTCTAGCTCCAACTCGGATTAAACTCAACTGAATGTGCTAATCAAGGTCTTAAGGAGCTGAAGTCTGCATGACGTTGGCCCTCCATGAGCTGGATTGGACACCCTTTAGCTATACCGAAATGATTCCTCATATTGTTTTAAAACTGTGTACTGATGTCCCAATACAAACCATTTATGCATTAGATTTCTGTGTCCTACTAAAGCATAAAATCTTGCAGACACATTCGATTGTAAGAGAAACAATTCCAAGGTTCAGTAAGAGGTGTGAGTCAGCAGAAGGCTGTCCCTTTGAAAGAGTAATGGGCTTTTCACTGGGTATTGGACCTATTCAATCAAAGCTTTCAAATTCACCCTCTTCCATACAATTGCTAATTGTTGTAAGGTGTGGGACAAATTACAGGTCATATTGATGTGCTGATTTTTAAAACCTATTCTATTCATTTAAAAAAATAAAATCTGCATATCTTGTGATGTTGACCAGTTCTCTCTCTTTTTGTATTTGATTCCGCTACAATCCAGAGTGGGGAGCTGTGAAACCATTCACAGTCTCATCTGCAAACAGCTGCTATTCTCTAGAAATGGTCCTTGTGGAACCAAGACATACATGGTAGCAGAAAATCCATATTTCTGCACATTTTCTTTCTAGAGTGTTGTATTAACTCCAGAGACAGCATCTCATTTGTCTCACAGTGTGGTCGACTTGAACATACTAAAATGATAAATAACATAATTAAACTATAGAGCAGTAACTTGAAAATACATAAAATGCATTACACTATTAATTCAGCTTGTGTGAAGACAAATGGACAAACCCTAATGATGATGAGAGCCTGTAAAACAATAAGTCTTAGAGAGGCCTTTCTTAATGCTTTTCATACACCAAACTAGTCAAACATGCAATGCCAAAGGCTAAAAGGATGGCTAAAATAAATCAACAACGTGTACAGCAATAAACAGTGATATTGACTCATTTCAGATACCAGGATGCATGAAAGCTTTCTGGAACCACAACCAAAATCTTTTCTACAACAGTCAGGCATGTTACTCACAAGCTTTTGCTGACATTGATTTTGTTCTTTACTGAAGCAATAAAGAAAAAGGTAAACAAAAGATGATTTTATGAGGGAATTTACATTGTGTAAGAGTTGTGTGAGTTTGAAAGTATTCAAAATCTTTCTGTTATTGAAGTTTAGCAGTGCAACGATTTGTTTTATCCTGTTACAGCTTAGTAAGGGGTCATTAGGTTCAACTGAAAGCTAATTTTATATTTTCATCAGCTGGGACTGAAGATGATGGTGAAATATAGGAAAAGGTAATCATTTAATTGGCATCGATGTAACTACTAGCGATGCAACTACACATTATATGCCTTTATGCCTTTTCAGAAACCTGTAAAACAGTCAGATGTGTATTAAGTTCGACCTTTAGAGCCCAAGATTCACACAGCATCAGCAGCAACTCTCTTTTTTTCAAGCTTTTTGACAGCAACTCTTGTGAGAGAGTAAAATACACATTAGGCCTATATGTCCTTGTTAATACATTAATTTACGCAGACAAATGCAGAAAGGCAAGCACCATAGAAACCTACAAGCACTCTTACATGTATAAGTAACTTCAACTTAAAACTGCATAAAAAAGAAGAAACTTACCCCAAGAGCCAAACTAAACTGAAAGAGTCTTAAGATTCACTCAAGTTAAGTAAGCTCTTTTTTTTTTGTCAGTTTATGTACATTAAAAAGTTTTACGTGCAATCTGAAACAACTGTTCTGAAACTGTATAATAATAAAAAAAACTTTCCACATGGTGAGAAACAACAAATATTCCCCCAAAGTATGAAAGATTCATAATATCCTGAAGAGCTGAAAACTAAAGCACCTTACACAATGAAAATGTGTTGTAACTCACACGTGTGCTTTTGGTTGTGGGTTTAGTTTAACTCCATAACATTCACATCAGGATCAAGTTAAGTTTTTTGGCTACGTTGTGATGCTTCTAAAAAACCATATTGGCTTGTTCCAGTCAAGCATAGTTTAGCCTATCTTTCTTCCATGCTGAAGATGATAAACTGGTCGTTGTTTTCATCGTTATATCATATGTATTACTGAATACATTTCTTCATATCTGTAGCTTAACTTCTGGCCAACTGCATTGACCAGTTTATTGGCCAGAAATGTTGTTTGTAACATCAACATTTAATTTAATAACGCATGTAAAGATGGGTAAAATTAAGCATTATAATACCAGACATTCACAAATTCATGTTCTTAACTAAAATATCCCTTTAAAATAAAAATATTTTATCTGTGGATGCTGATACAAAAGTAATTTTGAAAATGACAACCAAATAGTCAGTAAGCTTTAGCAAACTTAGATGCTCTGAGCAACTATTGATGATGTAAATGTACATCCAGAAAAAAAATGGCCACTTAAGTGAAATGATCTGACATGCCAGTATGACTAGTGTTGTACAACTATTGATTATAAGTGAACTTCAGTACTGTAAAAATGCCAGTGTCTGCCTCTCATTCAACAAGGTTGTGCCAGTGGAAAATTCAGTTAAGAACATTTCACGTTCAACAACATCTGGTCTGGCCATTATACAGATGATATGTTGTGTAAGAGAAGTGTTATAATAAAGAAAGAAATATAAATCAGTCTGACACACTGAACTTTGCTGCACCAATATGCCTCTGTCCATGAGTAGTTCTTAAATACAAAATACATTGAAGTACAAGAACAAAAAACAATCTTTGAATGCAAATGAAGTATGTCACAAATTGAGTTTGTATCGTAAAAAGGCAATTTACTGAAAATTATGGTTCTTATGAAGAAGACGGGACTAATATTAGTATGCACAGCCGAAAAGTCATCCGTAATCAGAGAGGATGAGTAAATACAGGCCAACATGCCATCGATGACCGACCCTGAAGCACAGCAGCTGGGTTAAAACCAGTTTCTAAATGAAAATCATAAACCAAAGACTGACACAGCTGGATACGATTATCCCCAGGAACATTTGGACCAGCAGAGCAAATGAAAAGTTGTCAAACACCCTGAAGCAAAACTTCTGCAATACATTCCTGCATGACAATTAGAGTTGAGCATTAGCCATCTCAACAGGCTGGAGGAAACTAATGAATATGCAAAGAGAGGATTCGTAATCAGGGTCCAGATATAAATAAGACTTGATACAAAACTCTTAAATGCAACATGTAATTGAAAATAAGACTTGCTTGTTTGAAATGAAAGAGTTCAGGTGCTGATGCAAAGCCCATTTATGCTGCAAAATAGGGTCAACCCAAAATCTCAGTTATTGAGGTCAAAGACCAACACATTCTCATCCCAAGGCGTCATCTAACTGACACTTTTGACCAATGCGTTAACACGCCGACGCACATGGTACCCTTTAAGCGTCAATATGAAACTCTCATCCTCGGGCGTCATCTAACTGACGCTTTTGACCATGCGTCTAAATCCGACGCACATGGCACCCTTTAGCGTCAGTTAGATGACGCTTCCGTTATGGGTAGGTTTAGGTCTGGGGTAGGGTTAGGGTTAGGGTTAGACCACTAGGAGGCGCGTCTCATATTGACGCTTAAGGGGTACCATGTGCGTCGGCATGTTGACGCATGGTCAAAAGCGTCAGTTAGATGACGCCTTGGGATGAGAACGGGCTGCAAAGACATGAGCATAACGTATCAGGATAATTTATGAAACCTTGAATGACTCTCTTACCTGTGTTTCATCAATTTCATCGTAATAGTCATATAAATCGCCACCCTCCACATTTAGGTCTAAATCCACGTTGTTGTTGTCATAGTTGTCTAGTTCTGCTTGTCGGGCGTATCTGGGGGGAGAGGCTGCCACCACACACAGGACCAGGAGTCCCCACATCAATCTCAGCGATACCATCGTCCTGCTACACAGAGTCAGATTGATTAATGTCTAGTGAGATCTTAAAATGCTCATGTAGAGAAGCAACAATAGAGAAGTAAACAGGGGACATGTCCATAGATAGGTACATAGATATGACAGCAAAGATCCAATCCAAATCCAATTTAGATTTCCAATCAGTAATTTTATTGTTACCTCCCTTGCATTTACAGTCTCTGCATATTTTTTTCCCCCCATAGGAATAAAGACAATTGAGCTTTGTAAGGTTGGAGAAGTGTTCATTAACAGGGTGCAGACAGCCTGTAACACTGAAATATAAGCCTCTAAAGTCTTTAGCTCACTTGCAAGGTCCAAGAAGCCACCACCTTACCAGGCGGCCATCTTGAATCCACTCAGTGACTGCTTTGTGTGTTGAAAGGTCAGAGGTGAGATGGCTGACGTCATACAGGTTTCTTTTTAAACATAATTATGACACATATAGCATTTTTACACATTTTCACACACACATAACAAAAACATAACACACATTGTGAAAAAAAGTTTACTCATAAAAGGTTTTTTATATCTTTGAATAAAGGTTCTATATGGTTCCATTAAGAACCCCCTGAAACCTTTAAGAATGTGGGTAAATTATCTATCGCAAATTCATGCTTATGGAAAGACAATAAAACATGGTTATTTTCACATTGTTCAATTTCCAGCTAGTCATCAGCTTGCCCAGGGAGAATCTGCAGAGCTTTTTTTCCATCTTCTGTGCTGATTTTGGTCGAAAATTCTGCTGATTGGATCCTTTGGATCTTTTTTAGATGAGTTCTGTGAGAACAGATTCTACATGGTCCTATAGTTCTTAACAAACAATGACCAAAAACTCTAAAATTTCAATGGTGTCTATGATAAAGATCTGTGAAATATTTAACTGAAGTATTATCAGTTCTCATATACTTTTTCATCGTCATTTTCTTAATCTCAATCCCACATGTATTGCTTTTTTGTATTCTTTCTCATGTTTAATATATAACCCATAATGTTATTTTTTTTTTTTTTCCTCTAACAGTAGAGATATATACATTTATTTTAAACGATAAGAGGCTCAGAGGAAAGCAATGACCAACTGGAGTGGAAGAAGAGAAGGGTGCACTTGATGGGCAGACCAAGTTCTGGTCCTCAGGGTGAGACGGAGAGAACGAAGCAAGAGAGAAAAAGAGAGGGAGAACCTTACAGAGCCCCTTTATGAGTGTCTGACTCTACACTCAAGTTCGAAATTCCACCGAGGTTTGTGGACAGCATGGCAGTGAGTAACTATCTCTTTCTCTCTCTCTCTTTCATGCACACACATCCACGTAACTCAGTAAAAGGCTATTTTGGGGCATAGCTGCTCTCTAGAAACCGCTGCATTTTTAAACATACATCAGTTCCCTGTGGGCTTCTGACAGCCAATCAACACATGCCATCATATTATGAATAGATATTAAATAGTAGTAATATCGAATAAAGACAAAAATAAGTTCTGTATGTAACTATGAAAAAAACAACCTCTCTCTTTAAAGCTGTAGTGTACCAATGCCTGACAGCTTCGACAGGGAAATGCTCAAAGAGGGACTATACTGAACACAGAGCTCGGCTTTTACACACTCCTGGCAGTGTTTGCAGTGTGTACACCCCGTGTGAGTATGTGTGTTAGAACTAACTATCCCAATGTTGTTTTTGGCTCTGCCCAACAGCATTCCTCATGCTCATTGATTCTACTATTTCTTCTAGTGGTGCAGCCAATATCGGCAAATTTATGACTTTTTATCTTCCAATAAGTCAAAATGCAAAAATATACAAGTTCTGTAGCTTAAGTAAACACATATTAGAGACATATCTTATCTGTTTAGTAACCCTGACAATTTCAGTTATAACTTATCAGATTTGAAGATTTAAAACAGGAAGTTTCTGTAATACGGCCTTTGACCTTAAACACATTAACAATGTATAAGACATCAAAAGTCTGTAACTTTATTTACAGCTCTTCATCACATTTTTCTGCAAATACTCTTAGATTTGTAAAGCTTAACAAAATCAACTATCCTCTTAAAATCAAGCAGAAACATCATCACTCCCAAAATGAACCCCAAAAAAACAAGGATTGGAAAACTGAGCAATATAAGAACACGCATGAATTGCCATCATTGCCACATAGGTCACCTGTTCGCCCACTTTAAACTGTTCTAAATCACTGTCAATATTATAAGAATATTCATGAAGATCATGGAGGATAGAAGTATTATATCATCAAGCCAGCAATCCAAGTCTCAGTAAAGTCGGTTGTGTGTATTTGAATTTTCGTGGCTTCACAAATGTGCATGATTGTTACAAGAATTACAAATAGATTTATAATAAATACCATGGAGTGCACCCATATATCATAAAGCCAGTCATATACGAGACAAAAAATCAATAAAAATCAATGAAAGCCTCAGTAGAGTCACTGAGGTACCAAGTGCCAAGTACCACTAAGGCTCAGAAGCAGAAGGGGAAGCCCTTGTGTCCGATCCCTGCTCTAAAGCACAGCACCAGCATTTAGACGAACATACAGAAGAACCCTTACCTCTTTCTCCTCCTTTCCCAAATGGTCCTGTTCTTCAGATCGGACAGGCAGAGGGTTGGTGGGTCTGGCCAATGGCAACAGGTCACTCACAGTGAGAATGCGAGTGTGTATCTGTATGTGGATGCTTCTGGGTATGTGACGTGTTCGTGTGCACACACTCCCAGACCTGTGTGCCCTACCTACCTGTGTGTGTGAAGGTAAGAAATGAGACTGAGAAAAGGGAGAAATTGAGTTTTGGTCACATCTACAGCAGCGCCCACCCCATACCACACTGCAACACACACACACACACACTGAACAGACACACAATTTGCACGCTGACAGACCCCCAACTGCGAAAATCCTTTAATCCCTTACAACCATCTTTCTTTTTTGTTTCCCAAAGAGACACATAAGTTATTCAGTCCTAACTATGAGATATTTGTCTTCCTTTTCCTGAGGTGAGCGTGAGGCATACTCTGCTTTCATGTAGGGATCTGCAGGGCCCCAGCTCACAATGGGCCCTCTGTAAGGCTCCTCTGTTAGTGCAATGCTGAGAAGAGTAAAGGCCTCCATTCTGCTCTGCGCCAGGACTCGGTGATAAAACTCAGACCTCTGCTTACCACCTATATGCATCACACTGCAAAAAACCTGCTAACCTATTAGGAAGTGGCATGCAAGTGCCTGCTTCATGTTCGGTGGGATGTTATTACAGGCCTCAATCTCTTTTCACATTATAATTCTCTTTTTTGGCGGCTCGGTAATCATATTTCTGCTGAGTCACATGAAATAAAAATCCAATATTAGTCCGTTAAGGACTGGGACTGTCAAGCAATTCAAATTGATAACAAATGGCACATACTGCATTTTGTTTCAGTCTCACTGACACGTTTAACCAATCTCGCTTTGTTTGATTAGTTGTGACGTTTAACGGGTGGGTATATATATCTACTATTTGCAGCCTGTTTTATATAGTTGAGCTTTAAGAGGCACTAGAAGAAGTGCTTAGTTGAACTATACGGCATGCACCAGTAGCCATGCAAACCCACTGAGCAGCGCCAAGCAAATCCATTTACTTGCACGATCAATTTGAGCAGCACAGGCCTGCACTGTGTAGTGGGGGATTTAATGTCAGTCAGTTATGTCTAAAGTCAACGTAACTGATGCGACCATATATATGCATTAGGCTTGCAGTATAAATGCAGCCATTGTTTCAACTGATACCCACATATACTGTGCACTCATTTTTGCTCTTCCTCTCTGTCATATATGTATAAGTATTTCAAAGAAAGTGTTCCAATTTTTTGTGGTACATTCAAAGGGGTTTGTAACAGCAAATCTCTTGAATCATAAATATGTGCTGGTATAAGTTCTCATACGCCATATTCTCATGAGAAGTTTCGTAATTCATCTGAAAATCTTATTAAACAAACCATCTTCAAAGACTGGAATTGCTTTTTGCTGACACTACATGTTTAGCAAAAGCTAAAACTGGGTGCTTGTTAAAATAGATCACAAGTCTAAACACAAGTTACATTATTGTAGATTAATACACTGTTTGTGGATTATATATTCCTTTATGAGGTTGCCTGACTGGCTGCTCTACTTGATTTGGACCCTTCAGGTCGTTGTTCTCAAAGTTCTCTGAGTTTTCAGTAACCAACATTTTTTTATGTATACATATATATAAAATGAGTCAGTGCAGAGACAATGCTGGACCATTGAAACCAGTTTAATCAGGAACATCAAACAAAAGTTATCTTATCTTAGATTTTCCCTTTTGTCAATCCTAATTCCTGTCATTTTCCTGCAAAGAATGATAAATGAAAACATAAAAAATAATTGTCACATTTGTGCGTTAAAAAAGAATATTCACATTATTTTATACCCTAGAGGAAAATAAATCTTAAAATCAATCTAGAAGGTTCACTGGTAGTACCATTGTCAACTGCTAAATTTAAACTGTATGTATATATATATATAATCAGTATGTAACACTACAATTAATGACAGTGAATAAATCTGTAGTGCTCAATCTATAAAATGAATGTCACACTAAATATTGATTGAATATTGAAATATTGATTGTACAAAGATGTAAAGAAATATTTAAAAAGTAGAAGTAAACTTATGTCAGTACATGTCAATCACTACAACAGTGGCAATAAACAATTGTGATTTCTAAAGTTTCTCTTATTTCAAACTTCTGTTGGTACTGTTACTAAGAGTTACCATGCATTCAATAAAATACAATAAACCACCGCTATGTACTAAGTTCACTACCAGAAAATGTGGCTCCATAATTAGACCACAACTCTTCTGTCCAAAAACACCCCAGAATTGTGTGGTGAGGTAAAAGTTTTTGGGTGGTACACCTACTAAGATCGATTTGTTTGAAAAAAAACCCAACTTCTGCACAAGATGGGGAAATGGCATTACATGCAAATGAGGACAATTATATTTAGGAGCTTAGCCTGCTAGTTTCCCATATGCATGGAATTAAGGAAGGCACAGTGGTTTTCTAATACAGCCATGAGAAACCATTCACAAATGCACATATGAACCAGTCTTATGGATCTCAACCCTGCTGAAAAGACCAGAACAGGAGACCCCCAGAATATCTCATATTTTGGATACTGGTATCCCCACCCAGCTTTTTAACCAGCTTAACTAGATGTGCTTTCTTGGCCAAAAACTCCACCAGAAAGATCATGCTAGTAAAACAGTTGTATCAGCTTAGTTTCAGCGTAGTTCCCACTAGACCAGCACTAGTTCAGTACAAACAAGCATAAGTCAATCTGGACCAGCATGGAAATTCATTCCAGTCTTGGCTGGTCTTTTCAGCAGTGTATAGTTTTCAATATTTTAATAATACTGACTTTCCAAAAAGATAGTCCTTTATTGGACCATTTTCAAGTGTTTTAGTTTACATGCATTTTCAGTTCTGGTAGATGAAATGGACAGGAGTATCTAGATGGTCTGGCACCTTCATATGACAATAGCCCTGAGGAGACGGAAACACATCATCAGCTCTCGTGGAATGGGGGGTTTGATCTCATTACCATCAAGGCGAAGGTAACGGAGACGTGGGCTGTTCTCCCCAAGGTAATCATCAAGTGTATCAGGTGGACAGATGTCAGAGCTATTCACACCTATGGAAATGACAGAAAAAAATATCCATCTTACTGATAAAGTCACAAACATGCTGGTACAATAGAATTAAGGGTGCATCCAAACTCCAAAGTTTCCTTGCTGTCAGTCAATAACTTAAGTTGTCTATAAAGGTTCTAACTAAGGGAACTTTCCAAAGGCTTCATAAGTCTTTAGAGCTTTACATAAAACCAAACAAATATAGACTACAGTATCTCATGATCGAAATGAAGTTACAAGTTTCAGATAAAATCATTGTGCGATTTTTGTCCAGACAGACCAAAGCAAAAGTATGAATTGTGATACTTTTGAGACGTGTCTGTATAAACTAATTCCTAAATGTTTTAGAAAAAAACAAGAGTTATGGACTTACTCTTGATCTTATTGTGATCCAGATGCAGGTGCTCCAGGCCAGAAGAGATAACGGGCACTTCTGTGAGCTGGTTGTGAGAAAGCTGTAGATCCAGGATGCTGGAAAGGTTAAACACGTTTTTTGGGATACCTCCATTAGCCAGCTTATTGCGGTTGAGCCTGAGAGATGCCACTTTCGGAAGACCCTTGAAGTACTCAACCGGAATCTTCTCAATGTTGTTGCCATCCAAAAAGATCTGTGTAGTTGTGTGTGGTAGGCCGAGGGGCATGCTGTTTAGCTGATTCTTTGCTAAATTGATCTGGATCAAGTTGTTGAGGCCTTTCAGACTGACCTCAGTCACTGCATCATCCTGAAGCTTGTTGCTTTGCAGATCCAGCAAGGTGAGATGGTCCATCCCAGAGAAGACACCGGCTGGGATCTTTGAGATTCTGTTTCGGGACAGCCGTAACTGCTCTAATTTGACAGGTAGAGGAGATGGAATGGAAGTCAGCAAGTTGTCTTCCATGTAGAGGTGTACAAGGTTAGACATAGCCTTAAGAGCATCAACCTCCAAGCCTTCACTTGTGATTTTGTTGCGGTTGAGGTTGATCCACCTAAGCTGTGTGGCATTGCGCAGAGCATCGGTTGAGAGGACATCAATGAGATTGTTCTGGAGGTACAGGTACCAGGTATAGGGAGGGATGACAGGAATGCGTTTCAGACCCTTGTTGTCACAGTAGACAGCGTTAGGGAAGCTTGGAGGGCAGTGGCACTCTTTAGGACATGCCTGGAGCTGAGAGATCATGTGCTCGTAGGGAACTTCATCAGAGCGGACTTGGCTGGCCAAAAGTAGGGCTACAAATGCAACCATGAGCCACTCCATGGTAAGGTTTAACCTAGAAAAACATAGAGACAGAAAAGAAGTAGCAAAATTAGCTGTTAACAATATTAAAAATATATAACTCTTAGAGATAAAATTAGAGACTTCATGTTAGTACTAAACAGGACAGTCACTAAAGTTCACAGGACTTGGTACAAAAATTGTTTCTCCCTTCAATGAGTTGCCCCCCTTGTCACAAGGCCTGGAAAAATGTTCCTAGCTGTCCCCCGCCATACAAACCACCCTACAATTACCTCAGGTTCTCTCTAAGTGGATAAACTCATTGACAAAAAATTAGCAACATCCTCTAGTTAAGATAATCATTCCCTGTGTCTTCATCTTTTAAGTAGTAATCCTCTTAAACTCAGAATATGCTGCCAGGTCAGCCTTAATTGACTTAAGCCTGGTATAGTGTTACTCATCTCCATTCAAAAGACAGTTACCTCTTGGACTCTGGCAAACATAAGGCTTCAGGTATGTGCATGTCTGACTACTTCTAGAGAGAACAAGGTATAACAATCATGGCAATTTAACAACACCTGGCCCTCCACATTAGGCATCCGTTGGCCAGGTTCAATTTGTTGTATTCCCATTTGACCTTTAAACATTTATATCTGTCAAATGCATGTTTGAGCTTTGTCTAATGTGTATGTGCCCTGATTCTCCCAATCAATTATTATGGTTTTCCCTCAAAAGTTTATTTGCTGACATCCACATATTTCTCTTGGCTTAAATTTATCCTGTAAGGATAAAAGAAACAGCCAACAGAGAGAGAAAGCTCAAGAAATAATATGTTAACACATATTCATAGCTGAGCTTTCTCTCTCATCTGGTATTGGTTTCAATTTTCGGTCCTGAGCTCTATAATCGACTGTCTGGAGATAATTTTCTATGGTCAGCGTTCTCACACTAAACCAGAGGGGATCAAAGGGAAGATCTGAATATCTAGTGAACAGGTCAGGTGAAACCAGCTTCACCTGTAAAGATCTCTGAAAAGTAAGAACAATACTTTTAAATCATGACCTCCAAACTGGCTTTGCAGAAAAACAGCTGAGCTCTTTAGTACCCTAAATTAAGCAGCATACTTCTATGTTAAACCAAGACAAAATAAACACAAAGCCATTAAGATTAAAGCAGATGTAAAAATAACTCATAGCTCACAGTATACATTTCTGGAGGACAGAGGCTTTCTACTATAGTGTAGAAGAAACTGACAATATCCTTCACAAAATATTTCTAATGAACAGAATTATTGCACAAATGCTAGAGACCTACCTTTGTCTTCTTGGGGCTCTTCTACTGTATCTTTTGCTGTGGGTACAGATGTCTCAACTCTGAGCTATTTTGCCATCTCCTGCCCCTATTTGTAGTGTCAATGATATCTCATGATCCCTTCACAGATAGACACACTGGACACAACCTTAGCCAATCATAGGCTCTCGAGATCAAGAGTAATAATCCTTTGGGGACGGACACTGGCGTGTTGGTCAAAGGAAGTTATAATTAGGCTAATCATGGCTTGGCTTCGCGAACGAAGATTTAGGAAGGACATCCACGTTTTCTACAGGCACGCTGGTGGCTGACGAGGCCTATGCGGGACAGGAAGGTCTGGTCCAGGATGGGTGCTGAGGGGACACGGTTCTTCCTTCTTCTCCTTTTGTGCTCCATACTGGCCCTGCGGGTATCTTCAAAGAGGGAGGTGGCCTGATGGACTGTGCACCGCCAGGAGTCGCGATCAGCTGCTTGTGTTGCCCACTGATGGTAATCGATGCAGCAAGCAGTGAGGGACTTCTTCAGGGAATCTTTGTACCGCTTTCGTAGTGCCCCGATGTTGCAGTAGCCAGAGGACAGTTCCCCGTACAGCGCAATCTTAGGTAGGCGGTGGTTCTCCATCCTGGAGACGTGTCCTGCCCTGTGAAGTTGTACCTTGAGGACCATGGCCTCGATGCTAGTAACCTCCGCTGACTCGAGGACTTCAGTGTTGGGGACAAAGTCACTCCAACGAATGTTGAGGATTGTGCGGTGGCAGCGATGATGCAAATGCTTGAGGAGTCTCAGGTGATGACGGTACGTGACCCAGGACTCAGTGCCATACAGGAGAGTGGTCACAACAGCTTTGTATACAGGTATAGGTTGTTGTTGTTCTAGACACGTCCATATAGTCTGCTGAATGCCCTGTTTGCCTTGGCCAGCCTGTTGTCAACTTCTTTGTTGATCTTGGCGTCAGACGAGATCACGCACCCCAAGTAGCTGAAATGTGTGGACAGTAGTGATGCGCGGGCCGACTCGTAACCCGCGGACCCCGCGGGTAACCCGCGGGTCGGGTTGGGGCGGGTAAAGAAATTGTCACTTTATTTGCGGGGCGGGTTGAGGCGGGTCATTATTTTTAATCCATGTATGTTGCTTGCAAATTCCAGCCTATATTAAATATTTGGGAATATCTATTTTCTTATTTTATCAGGTTATTTGATAAGGTTACAATACGAATGCCGTAGCAACTTAACTTGCGTGAGGTCCATAAACCTTTGGCGTCACGTGACACGTCACGAAAGCGGTGCGCCAAGCAGCTCTGCAGCTCCCGCCGCCAGCCACGATAACAACAACAACGGAGAAATAAAAGTGAAGATGGAAGACGAGGTGCGGGAGAAATTGAGGTCTGGAATTTAACTGATTAAATTGAAAAGAAAAAAAAGGTTAGGCTGCTAAATCTAATGTTTGGGAGCTGTTATCAGAAATAGTTGCAGGAGGAGACAACAGTAGCTAGATCGGCTACCTGAAGTGCAACTCGTGTGAAAAATATACAAACAGTAGCGCCACAAAACAGGCACTTCCAGCATGTCAAGACATATTTGTGGGGGGTCTAAGAAAAAAAAAAGGGTTAAGCCTATAGATGAATAGAAACGCTGCTTTGTAAATGTTGAAAATGTTTATTAGTATCTTATTAATATGACCTGATTTATGATTCATATTCATAATTGTCTCTTGTTGCCAGTTTACAGGGCGTTGTTTCCAAGCACTTTCAGGCTGAAATAAAGGCTGTTTTCATTTACATTACAATGCCTAGTAGTATGTCTATTTAACGGTCGCGGGTGCGGGGCGGGGCGGGTTGTAAAAATAGATACAGTAGTGCGGTGCGGGCTGGGGCGGGCCAAGTAATTTCATAAAAGTGGGACCCGCGGGTTGGAAAAAAAGCCGACCCGCGCATCACTAGTGGACAGCCTTCAGTTCTGTTTGTTCGATGGAGATGCTTGGTGGATGGTATTCTTTGTGGTGCGGGCTAATGCAGAACTTAAGTCTTCTTCACGCTGACTTCAAGGCCGAAGATCTGAGCAGTTTTTGCGAAACAGGACGTGATTCGCTGCATAGCTGCCTCTGTGTGAGCAAGGAGGAAGGCATCATCACCAAACAGCAGCTCCCGGATCAGTAGCTCCATGGTCTTTGTGTGGGCCTGCAGACGCCTCAGGTTGAACACGCTCCCATCGAGACGAAAACGAATGTATACGCCATCAGCGCCGTCGAGGTCTTCTGTGATCTGCTGGAGCATCATGCTGAACAAAATGGTGAACAGTGTGGGAGCAAGAACACAGCCCTGTTTCACACCGTTTGCAATAGGGAAGGGCTGCTAGATCTATCTATCTATCATCTTCATAAGGACTCCCAGTTTGACAGTTTGTTAAATGACAGTTGGCCCACCTTATTTTTGTAGATGCCTACAGTTGCAAAATCAGTAATGAAAAAAATCTGCTATTTAATGTGCACGGTCACCAAAACGCATGAGCTGAAATTTTTGTCCCCACGGGAGCACCCCAGACAGCAACATAGTGTCGGCCCAGATTCGGGCCATATCTGGTACATGTGGATTCCACGTGTAACAGAAGTGGGCCGGATCTGGGCAACACTACGTTGCTGTCTGGGACTAGTCTGGATTTAGAGGCGGATTTGAAGTTGGCACAGGTAGCCACATATGGTGTCGTTGTTTGACTGCCAAGTGCTGATTACTTCTCAATTCCACTGACGACAACAACACCTTACTGTGTCATTGTAATCCGCTGCAATGGGCTCCTCCAGTTGAGACCATTAGTAATTCAGTCTATTAGCATCTCATGTCAAGGATGGTGCAGCTCTAAGTTAGAACCAGTGGTCTAAGGGCAAAGAGTACACACACCAACCTAATCCAATTACAGAATTTAAGACCTATTATTCACAGGAATGTAAAAGAGCTCTAAACACAGAGTGTCAGGACACGACAAGAGGTCATTCTTGGGGCAGCAATTTGTATCTAGCTGCAAGATGTTTAAGTCTATTAAATTGTTCTGTATCTTGGATATCTGTTTAACTTTTTTTTCAAAGATGACTTCAATACAAGCATACAAACAATACAAAAAAACAGTTCAATATCAATGTACATCTGATACATAATATTAATAAGGAAATATTAAAGACTTGCTATACTCTATGAGTCTCTGAAACCAAGATCACACTACAAGACTAAACCTTGTCACACTTACATGTTTGTGACTAGTCTGCGACAAAAGCCCCAGAACATAGCAGGTGCCAACTCTTTTAGTGTCTGCACTTGTGACACGGCTTACAAATTTCAGACTGGATTTTCGAATCATCCAGTCTTCAGGTTGTCTTGACTCGTGCGAGAGAAGCAATGAGCAACAGCCAATGTGATTTTTGAGCCTTTTTCTAAACTGACCCCTTAAATGTGCACAGGGAAACTTTCTGTCCTGTAATGTCTTTCTTTGTCTTGAGTAGCAGGGATTAAGTAATCACATCCGTTGCTTATGATCAAAACGAGTGCTTATGCTATCTGTGCTAATGCTAATTGCTAAATATTTGAGAATAACCTCATAACAACTCACTCAACACTTTTTGAAATCTGAGACTGTTAAACAACATTTGAACACCTTTGAGTTTAATTACTATCTTTAGTAAAATAATTTACAAGCATATTTGACTGAAACAAGGATAAAATCCATCATAGATGTTAAAAAGAAATGATGTCTGAGAAATGACAACATGGCCAAGACAACTGCGGGACATTTATGCTTCACCTAAAAAGAAACACATGCTCTCATTTAATTTCCTGTTTGGGGCATTGTGTCTCAGGAAGTTATGTTACAACAAAATGCTGCACTTGTACTTTCTTTGATATAAATATTATTTAGAAAGAGCTTCACTTAACTACAAAAAGATAATTAAAGTTGAAATAATGAATTGCACATTGTAACAATGTTGCTTACACAAGCAACATCTGAGACTTTCCTTAAAAAACATACTGTGCTGTGCTGGAATCTGGTACAGAGATGACAGATATATACAATAGTATTCCGATTCATACCATTTAAAAAAATACCAAGGTGCTATCATGGTTACTTTTTTGGGCATTTTTATTAGTATTACACAAGCCATTTCAATGTTAGCTCAGTGAATACCACTACATAAGAAATACATATACATTTCAAGTTCGTGAGCCTGTAGATGCTGGTTATCAAAAAAAAATTCAATTATAGTTAAAGGTTACACTTTATTTTTTACTTTATTTTATTTTGACATTCTGTTGACTATAAGTAACATTGCACCTATGTCAACTATAACTCTCAGAGTATTAGTTCGGTATTAGTAGACTGTTAGGTGTTATGGTTAGTAGAATAAGTTGTCACGTACTTGCAAAGTTACTTATAATTAGTAGAATATCTGTTGGTGAACCACATTAAGTGTTGGCAGATACTAAGCAGACAGTCTACTAATACTCTAATGAGAGTTAGTTGACATGTAGGTGAAACGTTACTTATAGTCAACAGAATCCAAGTGTTACCAAAGTGTTACCCAATTAAATGAAATTATATGAAATTCATTATTTTATATGAAGATCTGCAGCAGAGGTGCAGAGAAACATAAAAATAAGGAAAATATTACAAAATTGAGTTTAAAATAACTCAATACTTCACAACAGAAAAACCATGAACCCCCTATACCCACCACAGACTTCCTTAATGCATCACTACCACATATAAGAAGAATTAAAAAAACAAAACAATGAAAACATTACCTGCTCATCTCAGTCATAGAGCTGATTTTGGTTTGCGCAGGTGGAGGCAAAGTGTCTGTTTCTGTTGTTGGGGATGTAGTCAATCTCTTGGTCCGCCTGCTTTCCTCTCCAGTTTGAGTCCAGTCTGCAGTTTCTCCCTCTTTCTTTCTGGTCCAGACATGCATCAGAAGACACAGCCTTATTAGATTACTATTGTTAGCAGTGTAACTTCCCCAAGGCCAAACCTTTGACATCAGCTGGTGAGGTTGAAAAAGGGTGTGTGTAAATGTTTGAAAGATAAATGTGAAGTTGTTTTTCCGCAAGCGTGCATTGGGAACTTATTTCTAGCACAGCATTTTTTTCTCTTTTCTTACTCTCTTCTCTTTGTGCAGTAAGGGTCTGTGGAGTCTCGGGAGTTGGGGGCCCTTGGTAAATATGACACCCCCCAAACACTTGCAGGTGGCTTCGAGACATTTAAGTCTTTCTTTTCAATAGACATATCTCATCTCCATCACTCACAACTATGAGGGATCATTTACCCCATTAAACTAGACCGCCCTGGGGCAATGGACATCATCAAGCTATCATTTTGCACTGATGGAAACTCGTCCCAACCTGTGAAAGGTGGAATTAAGCTGGAATGCAAAAACTGGTGAAAGTACAATGATGTTAGAGGGTTAATCCAGCACTCTTGCTATATCCCAGTAGGTCTCTCTCTATCTATCTCTCTCCTTGAGTTGTGCATAGCTTCACAATGAATGAAAGGGCAGTGTGTAGTAACCAGGCGACATCTGTTTCAACATCTGGATCCTGTTGTAGACATTTCAAGATGGAGAAGAGAAAAGTGGGATATAAGAGGTCTTTGATTTGGATAGGACACTGATTGAAGTCCTATTGCATGATTGAAAAAGGGGTAAAACGTTGTCCCCTTGAATAAAAGAGGATTCATGATTTCTGTTATTAAAGGGATACTCCACCAGTTTTTCTTATTAAACTATGTTATTCCCTTAACTAAGACGAGTTGATACATACCTCTCTCGTCTCAGTGCGTGCACTATATCGCTCTGTATTGCCGCAAAACTATGTTAGCACTTAGCTTAGCCCATGCATTAAATATGGGCCAAGCAGAGAAGCGACCAAACACTTCCACGTTTTCCCTATGTAAACACAGTTACTCGAGAAGTGTAACTTGACCTGGGCTGGTGACACAAAATAAACCGTTGCGCTTTTCTAAGCGTTTAAAATTGATGACTATATTGTATGGCGGAATACCATAACAAGTGCTTTTGAGCAGTTCGACTTGGCGCAATAATATCTTCACTAGTGAAAAGTCCTCTTACCGGCTCCCGCTTCCTCTCCCCCTCCCTCTGACATTTCCGTCAATACAACCAACGTGACATGCGCCGGTAGTAGTAGTTCGAGCGGAGTTGACGAAGTAACAGGTTGTTGGAAGCTAGTTAGCATTCTAAACAGCACAGGCTCTCAATTTCGGTCGGCATCTGTTCGCAACAGTCACACTTGCACCACCAATTGCTTTTTGCCCGTGGTCTTTCGCCAGCTCCGGTCTGTTCTGGATCATATCTTTCTTTCCTCTCACGGTCCATAAGAGCTAATTCCTCCTCCGTGTACTCGGGTTCAAACAGATATGGCTCTGGGTCTTCTACAAAGAAGTCATAATCATCTACAAAGTCCGCCATTGCAAATGATTTGCAGTTTGCTAATAGCACAGGTAGTAAAAGCCACGTTGGTTGTATTGACGGAAATGTCAGAGGGAGGGGGAGAGGAAGCGGGAGCCGGTAAGAGGACTTTTCACTAGTGAAGATATTATTGCGCCAAGTCGAACTGCTCAAAAGCACTTGTTATGGTATTCCGCCATACAATATAGTCATCAATTTTAAACGCTTAGAAAAGCGCAACGGTTTATTTTGTGTCACCAGCCCAGGTCAAGTTACACTACTCGAGTAACTGTGTTTACATAGGGAAAACGTGGAAGTGTTTGGTCGCTTCTCTGCTTGGCCCATATTTAATGCATGGGCTAAGCTAAGTGCTAACATGGTTTTGCGGCAATACAGAGCGATATAGTGCACGCACTGAGACGAGAGAGGTATGTATCAACTCGTCTTAGTTAAGGGAATAACATAGTTTAATAAGAAAAACTGGTGGAGTATCCCTTTAAGTATTTGGGACCATCAAATCTCACAAATTCCCACACAATCAAAGCACACATGCACTTTCAGATCTCCAGATGTTTGGTCATGCCCAAAAAGCTCCACAAAAGAAGTGTGTTTTTTTTTTTTTTTTTTTTACACCAGCAATGTTTAATTCATGAATAATTTCTTTTGAGTTCAATCTTTTCAATCAATTGGCTCAACTGTTTCACAAAATCATTCTGAACGATTCAATAACAAACCGGCCTTACCTGTTTAGGGCTGCATTTCCCAAAAGCATTGTAAGCCTAAGTAGATTTGTAGAAACCATTGGCACCAATGGTCTTTAGGATCTCCTTAGGTTTACAATGCTTTTAAGAAATGTAGCCCAAGCAATTCTTAAGCCAATGTCTCATTAAAATAACTTGATTTGGGTTTGATGACTCAAAACATTTCTTTAAACAAACTGTTTGAATCAACCAATTCACGGAAATAATCCACCTTATTTAAAACGTAAGTGTGGATACAGAAATTTATAAATTGAATGTATCCAGTTATTTTTAGCTGTACAAAACAACTCGTCAGGCTGCTTGATATTGCATACTGGTATTTCTTACATTATTATTTTAATGTACTGTCATAATAATTATAAACACACTGGTTTGCAGCACAAATAGTTTTACCATTTACTGTACTTTGTTATTCGGAACGAAGTCTCGCACATTCACAGAAAATAGCTTGCTTACGTTTTGCTAAATATTTGGATAAAGATAGGGTGAATTTCACTTTTATGCCAACTGTAAAGATACATTTCTCTGTGCAGAGCAACATAAAACAAGTTTATAAATCTCTGACAATGATATCACATGAAGCAAATAAACCAATTTCATCCCTTCAGGGAAACTGTGTTTGCTTTGTACTTTTTTTTGTTGTTGTGTGTGTTCACAGTCACACAGTCAACAGTCATACTCTTAACAACAAGAAACTCTTGTGTCCTCTCTCTCAAGAGATCAGCTGTAGGAGGACGAGCTAAGAAACATCTCAATGGTCTCTTCCCCCACAAAGTCGCTCCAGAGTTTAGTAGACTCTGAATAACAGGTGGTGGTTTTCTAGCAAGACCTCAATTGCACAGCTGACAAGAACACTTGCACAAAACATATGATACAGCAACCATTTTCATTTTCATCATCTTTGCAATGCCATAGAAACAGTATACTAGCAATGTACTTTGACTGTTAGGTTATGGAATTAAACATTAAGAAAAACATTTAAATCAGCATGTAAATTCTAAATGTAATTTATCCTATCGTGAACGATTATTTCGTGCAAATTAACTCTTTTTGTGTTCCACGCGGAAAAATAATTTGGGTTTTCGAAAGACTGAGGGTGAGGATACTCAAAAACTGCATTTCATCAACAAAATCTTGAAAAACCAAAGCAATCAAAAGGTTTTTTGTGGTTGGTCCTGCAAAATCAGCTTGTGGTGAACTTAAATGCTCAGGCTGTTATAAAGTGGCAAAGATATTTCAAATGAAAAGCCAGAACTGCCTATCCATCATCTCTTTCTAACACATGGACAAAAGAACTCCCACAATGCCTCTCTGTATAACTATCAGATGGTCACCCCAGACCCTCAATTCCTCTGGAATGCTGGGTTCTCTGCCTCCAATTCTATTGTTTTAAATAAAACACTCATTTCTAGTGCTAGCTCAGACTTGTGCAGAAATATCTAACTTTTGAAGTGCCTGTCATGAACGTGTGTTTCAGGATTTAGAGACAGAAGGGAGCAGGTGGTTGGAAGAGGTAAAGGGAAAGAATGGACTAAATGTTGGGATATTTTATGATTCATCCAAGGTATGTCCTGAGCTGAGGAAGGGAATCAATGTTTACAACTAACTCAAATACTGTCCCTCTGTCTGAATATGCGAACATCCCAACTGCACGTGGTATAAAAGTGTTATAAGTACCAAGTACCAAGAGTTTTTTTTCTGCAGGGCTGTACTTGTACTTGTTTAACGCCCAAGTAAATTGTTTTTGTGGTTTTTGCTATAGTAGGCCTTCATCACAGGTCAGTGAATATACAGTCAAAGGATAATGTCAACATGGCATTAGCAGATGTAGTTGGCCATGTAGTATTTATGTTACACACCTGCATACTTCATCAAGTTTCCCATCAAATTCAGTATACATACTCTGACATTTTTGGTAATTTGATCATAGTCTGGGATTTATGGACACAAATATTACACATATCTCAATAATCCCTACTAAAGCCCTTAATAGAATGATTTCAAAAGTAGTATTAACTTAAATTTTTACTGTCAGCGGATATGCCACAAAAACAACACCCTATACAAGCTTTTCTACCAAAGCCTTTTCATCTTACAATCACTATATTTATATTCACAGCCTATACTTCAGCTAGAGACATCAAGAGAACATGTTTCCTACAGGAAGTATTTATGTTATCATGACTATATTGCAAATAGAACAAAACTCATAGAGCTTTGTCCATCCATGAGTCTGGCTGAGTGGCCAGAAAGGATGAGGATGGAGGACAGATTCATACCAGAAGTTTCTTTCCATCCCAGACAGCAGGGCTGAGAAAAGGAAATCCACATGAGTCAAGCTATAGAAGATCAGCAATCAAGTTAAAAATAATAAAATATCGAGTAGCTTGCCTGTGCGTAGAGGAAGCTACTCTGTGTTTAGTATCTGTAGAGGCTAGAATCAAGCCTAATTTTAGTTAGACAAATCAAGATTGATGCCCTTATGTTTATGAATCATAAGATTAATGACTTTACGAAGATTGATAATATCTACTGAAGATTTCCTGTGATGATGCTTTAGAGAATTCCCCATGATAAAATGAAGTGGCAATTATTAGTATTGACAATAAAACATTTTGGTTAATGTATCATATTATTTGAATATTGTGTATAATATTAATATATGTATTACATGTGACTTCATTATAATGATTGATACCATCAGTATCCCCCCACATATGTAAGAAAACTGGTTTATTCAATTAAAGATGAACAAACTGCTTTATTTTTTAAAACAAAATAGAACAACAACAAATGAGGGAACTTAGTTACTGTAATCTTGTGGTTCAATGATTTGACTAACATTGTGGTGATGTG